TCTCTCCAGGCAAGGGAATCAAGAGAAAAAATAAACTAATGGGACTGCATCAAACTAAAAAGCCTATAGTGATGGAACCATTAAAAAAATGAAAATACTACATGAAAATTGGGAGAAGTTATTTGCAAATTGCATACCTGATTTGGGGTTAATATCCAAAATATATAAAGAACTCATACAACTCAACAAAAACAACAAAAAACTCCAACTAAAAAATGAACAAAGTATCTGAACAGACATTTTTCCAAAGAAGATACACAGATGGCCAACAGGAATATGAAAAGATGCTCGGAATCACTAATTATTAGGGAAATGTAAATCAAAACTACAATGAGATATCACCTCACACCTGTCAGAATGGCTGTAATTAAAAAGCCAAGAAGTACCAAGTATTGGAGAGAATATGGAGAAAAGGGAACACTCAAACATTGCTGGTGGGAATGTAAACTGGTGAAGCTAGTATGGACAACAGTATGGAGATTCCTCAAAAAATTAAGAATATAACTATTATATGATCCAACTCTACCACTTCTGGGTATTTATCTAAAGAACACAAAAACACTAATTCAAAAAGATATTTGAACCCCTATGTTCATTGCAACATTGTTTATAACAGCCAATACTTGGAAACAACCTAAGTGGCCATCAATTGATGAGTGGATAGGAAAGATATGGTATATATACACAATGGAATACTACTCAGCTATAAAAAAGACGAAATCTTGCCATTTGTGACAACATGGATGGACCTTGAGGGTATTATGCTAAGCAAAATAAGTCAAAGGGAGAAAGTCAAATACCATATGCTTTCCCTCATAAGTGGAAGATAAAAACAACAACAAAAAACAAACATGTAAATATAAAGATTAAATTAGCAGTTAGAAGAAGGGAGGGCAGATTAGTATGGAATTAGTATGGAAAACTGTACAGAGGTTCCTTAAAAAATTAAAAATAGAACTACCAGACGATCCTACAATTCCGCTTCTGGGCATATATCCAAAGGAAATGAAATCAGGATTTCAGAGATATCTGCTCTCCTGTATTCATTGCAGCATTATTCACAAAAGCTAAGATATAAAAACAACCTAAGCATCTATCACTGGGTGAATGGACAAAGATATGTATATGTGTATGTGTGTATGTATATATACACATACACAATGCAATATTATTCAGCCATGAGAAACAAGGAAATCCACCCATTTGCAACAACATGGATGGACCTTGACGTCATTATGCTAAGTGAAATATGTCAGACAGAGAAAGACAAATATTGTATGATCTCACTTAAATGTGGAATCTAAAAAAGCTGAAACTGGGGCTGGCCCAGTGGTGCAGTGGTTAAGTGCACACATTCTGCTTCAGTGGCCTGGGGTTCGCTGGTTCAGATCCCGCGTGCAGACATGGCACCACTTGGCACGCCATGCTGTGGTAGGTGTCCCACATATAAAGTAGAGGAAGATGGGCATGGATGATAGCTCAGGGCCAGTCTTCCTCAGCAAAAAGAGGAGGATTGGCAGGAGTTAGCTCACGGCTAATCTTCCTCAAAAAAAAAAAAATCACAAAGCTAAAATCATAGAAACAGAGAGTAGAATGGTGGTTGCCAAGGGCTGGAGGATGGAGCAAATGGGGAGATGTTTGTCAAAGGGTACAAACTCCTAGTTATAAGATGAGTAAGTTCTGGGGATCTGATGTACAGCATAGTTACTATAATTAACAATACTGTATTATATACTTTCAAGTTGCTAAAAAAGTAGATCTAAAATGTTCTCACCACACACAAAAATGTGAGGTGACGGAGGTGTTAACTAACCATATTGTTGTAATTATTTCATATATGTGTATCAACTCTTCATGTTTTACACCTTAAACATATATAATGTTCTAAGTAAATTATCTCAATAAAGCTGGGGGGAAGGGGAGAATGAATATATTCCAAAAGAAAGTAATGGAGGGGTTGAGGGGCAAAGAAGATATAAGCATATAGGAAAAAGAAAGCAAAATGTCAGATGTTAGTCCTACCTTATCATTAATTACACTAAATGTAAAAGGATTAATCTCTTCAACCAAAACGCAAAGATTGGGTGAATGGATTTTAAAAATCAATCAACTATATGCTGGCTACTAGAAACACAATGTAGGTTCAAAAGCTCAAAGAATTTGAAAGTAAAAAGGTAGGAAAAGACACATCATGCAAACATTAACCAAAAGAGCATTAGTGGCTATACTATTGTCTAACAAATAGATTTTAAGACAAAAATTGTTACTAGAGACAAAGAAGGATATTTTATAATGATAAAGGGTTAAAAATACGTTTTTAAACTCTAAAAATAAATTAACCATTTCTGCCTTTGGGTGCCAACAATGTAGAAGGATTTTGTCCTTTTCTTGTGTGTTTTCAATTTTGCCATATTTTCTAAAATCAACTGACATTGATTTTAAATCATTACAAAGTGTTTTTACAAAATTCTGTCACAAAACTAACAGTCTCTTATTTATTCCATTCCAAGCTCCTATGGATGTCAAGCACAGACTTTTCCATAGTGAACACAAGCTGGCATTTTTCCCTGGGGTCTTAGGCAGAGACATCCTGGGGGACTTCACTTGAGATTTTATGAAGGAGAGAGGTTGGATGAACTGGACTCATCAGTACTTCCTTGACCTGCTGAACAGGTGAACAGACACATCCAGGGAAGTTATTCTCTGGGCAGGACCCCTGTACCCTGCCCCAGGTTTGTGGATCATCAGTAGGTTATCCATGACAGCTGTCTCCTGGAACAGAAAAAGCCAAGGGAGAGAGTTCTGAGTCTTAGAAGCACCAAGTAGATGGAATATACACACCGGATTAGAAAATAAGCTATTGGGATGGGTTACATGAGAGTGGGCAGAGAAGACTCCATGGATAAGGAGATAGGATGTAGATTGAATCTCCACCAATTTCTGGAACTGCGAGTAATAGAAATTTGAAAAAGAGCTAATGGAGATAGTAGCATGAGCAAAGTCACAGAGGTAAAAATAAACTTGATAGAAATCTAAAGGCAGAATAAAAGCCTTGAATTGCTTCAAGTCAGTGTTCCAGGTTGTATAATGCCCTTATCTCTCCCACTGAAGAATTTTCCTCCCTCACATCCCACGTCTATTGTGGGCAATCCAATTATAGGTTTGAAGGGCCATGCAGGGCCTCTTGTCAAACCCCTTTTCATCACTATCACCAGCAATTAGTTGATGATCTTGTAATGTATGTGTGTAAAGGAAGATACTTTGAGATGGGTAACTGGACTTCTGGTTTTCAAAATCTATCCTTTGGATCCCTCAGATTTGTGTGGGGAGTACGATGTGGAGACTCCGGCCTCTGCGTCAAACTGTGTAAGTCCACTTAGATTTTGTTCATAAATTTGGCTTCCCTATATTCTTTTACTTGGAATAATATTTTCCTAGATAATCAGATATTTTGAAAAGCATGGCATGCCACAATCTTCACATGCCTTGCAGTTCTGATAGCCTATGAAACAGATAGTGATTTTAAAACATGTCTGCAAATTCTTTTATACCCCTTGCATTAAGAGATGGTGTCTACATTCCCTAGCCTTGCACCTGGGAGCCTTAAACCATCATATGAAACATCCAGCCATGTGGACAGACCACTGGAGAGATGAGAGACAGAGAGAGAGGAAGGGAGAGAGAGAGATACGCTTCCATCTGGTCCAACTCCCAGCTGTTTAAGTCCTCAGCCCAGACAACGGAGAGTGAGTGAAGCCCTTGAGATGACCCTGTTACCATACAAAGGGCGTTATCTGCTCGCCGCAAGACAAAAGCCAATAGCCAAGAGGTAAGATGGCGGCAGAGAAAGGGCATTTTATTAAGCAATAAGCTAGCAAATCAGAAGATTGCGGGACTAGTATCCTAAAGAACCTTCTTAAATGAGGCATAGAATCTTGAAGCAGTTCCATAGGCCAGTGGGTTATAGCGGAGGGAGTTAAGAATGTTGACCCTCTGGGGTTGCAGACTAGGAATCGCCACACCAGGTCTTTCAGTTGTCATTGATGGTGGCTACAGCATAGACTCTGTGTCCAGGCATCATCACATTCCCAAGGAACTCAAAAGAACGAAGTTATCATCTTATCACACCTGGCAGGTATATGCAAAAGCAGGGGCCGTACAATCTGCAGAGCAAGTGGACCTCCTGGAGGGCGCACATCCAGCAGGGTTAGTACGTTAGAGGTCATGCAAAGTTACAACATGATTTCTTTTCTACAATATGGCTTCCCTCATGTCAACCTTGTGTTGAGCCGGTATCAACCTCAATCCTAGCCATCACCCAAACGTGAAGATGTAAAAGATCCCTGAGTGAGAATTGCCTTGCTGAGGCCAGTCAACCCCCGCATTCAAGAGCGAAACCGATGACTGTCATTGTCTTAAGTCACTGTTTTCACATGGGTTGTTACACAGTAATAGAATAGACACTACAATTTTAGGTATTATTCTTCTAAGAATACTGAATTCTATTTTGCTAATGTGCTATTATCCTATTTCTCTCTGGGTGTTGGAAAAATCAGCAGGATTTGAAGCAGTGAAAGATTTTTTAGTCCATTTTAGAGCCCAGCCAAAGTTTTGGGGGGAGCCTCTTTCTGGACCCCAGGGCCCTGGGGATGCTGAAAGGGAAACTGGGAAAATCTCTTGCATCTCCTTGATCTTGGTATCCTTTTACTACAGAAAGTGTTTCATTTCAAAAAGGCAGAACCCTTAATAACAGCCATAGATCACATGCGGTGGTTTCTGTGGGCACAGCCCCCGCCTCACTGGCGATTCTGACCTTGGATGGAAAACCAGCCCACACCAACTTACACTTTTCTCTTTCATTTCCTAACATCCTTCTCAGGGCAGGGTGATGGCTCAGCAGGTTTATTACTACATCCTGTGATTCATTCAGAAGAACAAGGGACTCTCCCCTACTGAATTTTTCCCTTTTCCTGTCTGCTCCTATAAAAGGCAGGCAGAGCAGCCAGAGAAACAGAGAGGCTGAGACCAGCCCAGAAACCAACAGCTCTCACGCTGAAGCTCACATCCTCGCCCTCCAGCATGAAGGTCTCCGCAGCCCTCCTGTGCCTGCTGCTCACCGCGGCCACCTTCAGCACCCAGGTGCTGGCTCAGCCAGGTAAGCCCCCGTCTCCTTCCCTCTGAAGCACATCGCCCCATCTCTGGCTTATCACGGGCCATCAGAGTAGAAGGGTACCCACGGTCTCACTCTTAACAACTGCCTTTTTAAGATCGGGAAGGTCAGAGAAGGATAAGGGGTGAGCCTGATCACACAGCTGCTCCTGGCCAGAGTCTGGGCGAGAATTCCAGCTGTGGACGCCAAATCCAGCTCCTCCCCAGACTCCAGCTCTGTAAACACAGCCTCAGTGCAGTTACTGCCCTGGCTCCCTTCAACAGTGTTTAGGGACTGGGGTGATCAAGAGGGGGGGCCTCTGGTGGTGGGTGTGCAGGGTATTTCCAGATATGGGGGAGTGCAGAGCAGGAGACCCAGAACCTGGGCTGTGCTTCATTCAGTCCAGCTTCCAGAGACACAGCTCTGCAGAGGCAATGGGTATCAGGGAAAGTCATGATGGAAATGATTACTTGCAGTCGAATGAGGGACCCATAGCTAGAGTCCCCTTGCCCCAAGAAATGGAATTATTCCACTAGCCTCTCCCAGCAACACCCAGAGTTGTCTTCCATTCCTCCTCAATTAATGATGGTGCCTTTCCATTTTACACTCCATGCAAGTGAGACAGAGAGTTTAAGGCATGTCTCAAAGGATAGTGACACTGGACTTGGGGTGGGTGGCCTTCTTTCCCATTGACTTCTCCTTCCTCCTGCTTGCTCCTTCATAAATAGAAAGCCCCAGCACACATTCTAAACAGCCTTTTGTTGTTGTTTCATTGTAGATGGAATTAATACCTCAACGACCTGCTGCTACAGATTCATCAATAAGAAGATCCCCATCCAGAAGCTGGAGAGCTACAGAAGAGTCACCAGCAGCTACTGTCCCCAGGAAGCTGTGATGTGAGTGGCCCCTGACCACCCAGACTCATCCCTCAGTTCTGAGTTCTTCTCCCGGGCAGTGATAGGGTTATTATCAAATTGAGTTAGAATTAAACCTTCAGGTGCTTAGACCCTCTCTAATCCAATTCCAGAAATTTTCCAATGGGAAAATTGAACTCATGAAAAGAGAGACTTGCCGCTCCCAGTTCCCTGTCTAGCCATTGGTTCAGATCTCAGTTGCTTCATCCAGGAGCCAACACGGCTTCACCTCGGCCAGCAAAAGCAGCTGCCCTCCCTGAAGTCCCTTCTTTCTTCTCCATCCCTGGGCCAGCGCTACCTAATGAGCCTAATGGGCCGGGCCAATTTCCCATAGAATAGGTTATGCTCCCAGGTCGAATCCTCAGAGTGCTGCCTCTCACTGTGCCTTCTCTCCCTTACAGCTTCAAGACCAAACTGGCCAAACAGGTCTGTGCCGACCCCAAGCAAAAGTGGGTCCAGGATTTCACGAACTACCTGGACAAGAAAACCCGAACTCCAAAGCTTTAATTGCTCACGCCTGAACTGAAGCCAAGCTAGTACCTGAGAAACAACTAATTTATATTCCTATCCTTTCCAAGATGCACTCTGAGATTATCTTCTTATAATTCTAAGGAATGTGAGTTTTGTGGAATAATGTGAATTATAGTTTTTAAGTACTGCCTTATCTTTTTTTTAAGTTATTAATATTTTAATGTAATGTGCCATGGATTTGGCTGGGTTTTAAATGTAAAGCCTGGGACACAACGTCCCCCTCAGTCCTCTGAAAACTGCAGGCTGCTCCTCTCCTCTCTACCTCACTGTGGCGTTACGAAGCTCCTTGCACAAGACAATGCAAAGATTTTTGGTTTGGGTTTTTAGGAGGTGATGTGCTTATGAAACCATAATGTTATTATATAATTGAATATTTTTATTCGTATGTCTCTTGGGATTTCACATAAAATATGTTTTTGGATAAAAGTTGACTTTGATGGGGGTTTTTTTTTTCATTTGTAAAATAATAGCTTTATTTGAGGTATAATTCACATACCATACAATTCACCTAAAGTATACAATTCAGTAGTTCTTAGGATATTCGTAGAGTTGTGTAACCAGACTTTGATGGCTTTTTAAAGGATAAAGACAAAGCTGGCAATAACTGGGGAAGAAGGCGTGATTTTGGGAGGTAGGGCTTGGGTTCTGGAGGTGTGAGTATAAGGATGGGCGCTGGGCTTGCCTCCAGGCTGCGCTCACCTGCGTGTCAAGGAGAGTGAGGCAGGTTGGAGCCAGACGTAGCCAGCTACACATCTCCAGACCTGACAGCAGCTTCAGCCATTTGTTCAAATACCTTCTTTCTTTTCAAAGTCATTCCTTTTCTCACCATCCCAACTCTACCCGAAAGAGCTCCCCCCTCCACCCGCGGCGTCCCTCCCCCCACCGCCGACGCCCTCCCCCGCTTCTCCCCGTCTCATCTATTGCATCAGCTTTGTGGCTGGCTGGTTTTCCCCTTCTAATCAGTCCTTGAATCCAAAATAATACAAACATCACTTGCATTGAGAAATCAGGGAGGGGACTGACAGATGACCTTACATGTTCCCTTCCACATCCACTGAGAACCCCATATCTTAAAAATTTCTATCTCAGCAAGCTGAGGAAGAACAAGGAGGGTGAGGACCCTGCAGCCAAGGCAGGATACTGACAAACCCTTGATAACTTCAAGCTGAGCTTCTTGGAGACAGATGATTTGCATCAAAGCCCCAAGGAGAAATCTCAAAGTGTCAGGAGAAATCAGGCTCCTTAGTGCCAAGCAGACAATTTATTGGTGACCATTTACTGCCAAGGGGTGTCATCTCAAATTGCAGTGGAGAACAACTGGAGGCCGACCAGAAGTAGGAGGAGAAATAAATAGCTGTTAGAGCATCCTGAGACACAGCAAGCCCTCTGGTGCAGGCAAATATTAAGCAGAGTGTCAGACAGTAGGCCAGGCAAGGGGAGATGAGCTCCATGTACCCAAGCCCAAGCAGAATCTGCTCACACTCTCTTTGTCAAGCCGTATCTCTTCATTTTCAAGGACTTCTAAACACACTTGTCCTCATGTAGGCCTGGATCCCTTGTCCCCTTCAGGCACAGAGGATTAGAGAGAAATTCCAAAACACAGCCAGGATCAGAGGCTGATACATAATTGGGCATTGAGTTTCATGGGATTCAAAGATAGGACCAGTTATATCACCAATGTTCCTAATAACTTTGGGCAAGTTACTTTACCTGACTAGGTCCCCATAAATGGAGATTGACAGAAGACCGATGGCTCTCATACTGGTGTCACCATCACTTAGACACTAAGGAAAACACAGATTTCCAGTACCATCCAAAGATTCTGGTACGGAGTGTTGGGTGGGGAAGGGGCCCCTTCCATCTTTAACTTGTTCTCAGCCACATCTGTGGGCTGGTGATGGGATATGCTTGAGGCTCCCCGATGTTCTGTCTTTCAGATCAGTGCAGCCTCTGGGCTTGACCTGTGCCTCCGGCTTAGACGGGACAAGTGCCTTTTGTTTGAACTTTCCCTCCTCCTAGACTTGGCTGTTGGGCATTCACTAGTCCTGAAGTGGCAGGGCCTCTAAATGCCCGCCACATATCCATGTACATTTCCACATTTTCCAGCCTAAACAGCATTTATTGGGGAGCCATGAGACTGAATTCTAACCAATTGGATGAGAGCTGCAATGATGCAGCCACTTCCAGACACAGCCCTCATAAATGACTTATACCTCCAGCCTTCTCTTCCTCTGTCAAGCTGACCCTGGAGGGAAAGTGTTCCTTAAAGCTCAGCTTCCAGGTGGGGGCAGCCAACGTTCCCAAGTCACTGGTGAGCGCTTGGAGGAGTCACCTGACCTACCCTGCACTATGACATGAGAAAGAAATAATCCTTCATTGTATTAAGCCACTGAAATTTGGAGCCTAGCTTAACCCTGTTAATAAAAGAACTGATACCATGAGCATGTGTTGCCATTAAAAACCTAGATTATGTGGCATTGACTAGTCATTCAGCAGCAGGCAGCGAAGAAGCCAATATTTCAAGTTGAAAAGGAGATTCATGTTACCAAGAGTCAGAGCTGTGAAGTCCTGTCTGCTGAAACTGTGGCTCCAGGGAGAGAGTTTGAAAAATACGCATTAGTAATGTGATTGTTGTTTTTGTCTGCATGTGTTAAGGTATTGCAAGAAAGAGATGAGCTCAGGAAAAAATTGACTGGTCTTAAAGTAGAAATGAGATGGGGTAAAGTGGACAAATTCAGGACCTTACATTGTTAGAAAAGCCCCCTGTTTCTAGGTCCCAAACATTAAAAGAAGGTATTTAAGTAAAAAAAGTAAAAAGATTTCAGTAATAAAAATCTAGCAAGAAACTTCTAGTTGGATGAAGAACCTTAGGGCAAAAATCAGATTAAAGTTGTAGACTTGCCATTTCAAGCCTCATTAAGAGGAGGGAGAGAGAGAGGGGAAAGTGCAGAAAAATAATTTGAGGACTATATTTAGAAAGAAGCTTGGGCTGTGGCTGCAGGTATATGGAATTGGCTGGGGAGAAAGACATCAGAAGTTTGTTAAGTTAAGGAGAACTGATACTATACTGCCAATAAAACCATGAATCAGCCTGGAGTGAAAGAAAAAAGAAGGCGGCATTGACAGTTCAGAATGAAAACAAACTCCAAGCACTACCATGCAGCAAGCTGTCTTCAGAGGCTACAGAACCCCCTGGGAGAACACGTCTGTCTTCCACACCCACTTCAGAGGTGGCCAAGGGGAGTAATGTAAAAGGAGGGACCTCACAAGGGCAATCAGGAGCCAGCATCAAAAAGAAAAAAGAGTGGGTCTGGCCCTGTAGCCTAGTGGTTAAGTTTGGCACGCTCTGCTTCAGTGGCCTGGGTTCGGTTCCCAGCTGTGGACCTACACCACTCGTCAGCAGCCATGCTGTGGTGACAACCCATACACAAAAAAGAGGAAGACTGCCATAGATGTTAGTTTGGGGCAAATCTTCCTCAGCAAAAAAAAAAAAAAAAAAAAAGACAAAGGAACTCCCCTAAATTGCAGAATCAAGCCTACTGAAAGGTGAGGGACTTTTACAATACCTGCCTAAAGAACTGCAGGGTTGCTGCAGAGCATTGGCCACTGGTGTCTACCATCTTTCCCTCCATGAATGAGAGTGTTCACTGCAAGTACTCTGTCCTTTTCAAATTTGTTATATTGGAGAAAGGACAAATAACTTGTCTTTTTAGTTCACAAGTCACTGGACAAAGTAGATCCATGTCCTCATCTGACAGGGAAGACCACCTGCCACTCAGGGGTCCCGGGCAGTTAGGTTGATGCAATGACTGTATGGGACTTTGGGTTATCTCACTTGTGGGTGGATTAATGGTATTAACTTACGATGAGAAGAAGCAAGCAAAGGCCAGTCTGTGACAGAAACCATTAGTCTTCACCAAATATTCATGCACTTATCTTCATTCCTCAGCCTCTGTTGCAGTTAAACTAGAGTAGTATGATGAGTTAAGGCCAACAGGATGTTGATGGATGTAATATAAGCTGCCTCCAGGCCTGGTTCTTTAAAACATCCTACACAATCTGTCAACCATCTCTTCTCGCCTCAGTGAACTTAGAGGCCACTTGGCCCAGATGATGGCTATAATTTATAAGCAGCCTGGATCTCTGAAGAAAGTACCTTTGGCAAGCTGCCTGACCAACATCAGGCTGTGATGTAAACAAAAGATAAATATCTGTTGCAGTAAGCCGACGAGCTTTTTGTGTTGGTTATTGTTGTTGAAGCACAGGCTAGCATTCCCATGACCAATTGGCTCAGGGAAATGCCTTCAGCATTCTGTGCCTCAGTTTTCACCTTTGTACAAAAGAACAAAGCTGATTGCCCCAGGAAGACTACGTGAGATAATGTAACAGTAAGAATATTTTAAATCAAAGAGCTTGGGTTTCTCTCTGGGCCACTTGGAGAAGCAGGCTTCACTTTTATCAAGGATTTCACAGAAAGGGAAGTTGCTTAACCTCATTTTTCTCATTTTTGAAGTGGACTTAATTAGAATATAGTCATTTGTCACTTAACAATTCAGATACATTCTGAGAAATGTGTCATCAGGCAATTTTGTCATTGTGTGAACATCATCGAGTGTGCTTACACAAACCTAGATGGTATAGCCTACGACACACCTAGGCCATATGGTACGAATCTTATGGGACCACCATCAAATATGCGGTCTGTTGTTGACTGAAGCGTCAGTATGCGGTGCATGACTGTGCCTACTTCATAGGTTTGTTGAGAGGATTAAATGAGTCAACCCATGTGAAATGAAATAATATAGTGGCTTGCACAAATTAGCATTGTTCTTGAGAGCTTGCTATTTGATAGGCATATTGTCAAAATTTTTATATTAACATATATTTTGAGGTAGTTTTCCTTCAAAAGCAACAAGAAACTGGAGACATGGTCTTAGTGACCCTTGAGAAGAAGAGATAGCAGGCCCTACTTGGTCCTATTTTGCATAAGGGAAAACTGAGTTGGAGGGCCACAATGTGGTAAAGGTTTCACAAGATAGAGAGGCAAGAGACAAGTTCTAGAATCATCTCAGCCTAAAACATACCATGTGGCCTTAGGGATTTGGGCACTGGTCCCCGTGGGCAATCAAATTG